AAATCAAATTGAGTGATCATGATGATATTAAATATAAAGTTGGGTGATCATTGATGGACTTAACCCATTTGTTCACGCTTGTGTTTGTGTATATTTGTTTATGCATAAGTAACAACCATTAATGAAAAACATGTATTGATATTGTGGTTGTGACTAACGAAACCAATCAATTTTTTTCAACGCACTATTGATTAAAACTTTGACTGCTGACTCTACCCTATTTTATGACCCCTCGATAATAATTAATAACAAATTGTATGCGTTTCTGATTAATTAAGCACCTGCACGCGTGTAAAGATAGAAATTATGATCGCATTGTTGTCAGTTTTAGAGTTTTATCTTAAAAAACCAACCTTGTTACCAGGAAACAAAAAGGTAGGATTTTTATCCTTAATATGTCTTCGCTAAATGTTGGTGCGTTTGAAATAATAAGCTTAAAGTGTAAGTAATTGTTTGAGTTTCAGACGAATCAAATTGTCCATTTAGGCTTTTTCGACTTTGATACGTATCGATTTTTTCAGTTTTAATTTTAAAGGTCGACCTCATCAAGAAATGTAACGCAAATCCTTACATAGTGATTATTGTTTAATATCTTTTTAGAATTCGCCTTAATATACAAAACCAATTAATGAAAGCTCTTCAAATATAATGATTCAAAAATCAATACTTAATTATTCTCACTTCTACTTGCCAATCCTTATCATGCGGATTTATATTTACAAATCAAATGGTCAAAAGGTTCCACTAATTCTCTGTCTGATGCTAACTTGTGGGGATAAGGGGAAAGATTTAATGAGTAGGAATAACATAATGGCAAAGTCATCTCGAAAGTGGATGCTAAATCGAACTTCTTTTAAAGAGATAAAGAATATATGGTAAACATTCCCAAAGATTTTCAAGAATAAATTAGGTTAAATGTGAAATAAAATGTGAATTCTGCGATAAATTCCATGGAGATACCTAGTCTTGCTTTATATCCCAATTGAAAAGCAAAAGCAAAACAATATTTGAGAATGTTAGGCAAACGAATACCTTGGAAAATGATTCGGTTAATTGGATCTTAAATCTTAGGTGACTACACTCGTACATTTTGTAAATATTGATTTTATGAGATGTATAATTCATATGGGGTCCATCATGTATAGAATGTTAGGTGACATAAATACCTCAAAAAATTATTTGTAATGGTTAATTTTGACCTTCAGCTCTAAGTGACTTCATCACTCATAAAAAATGAGGTCGATGATTAATATGGGATTCAGAAATGTCTAGATGACATAAATACCTCAATAAATGATTTTCGACGATTATTTTTGACAATGAACTCAAGGGTCCGTTTGATAGGTAAATGTGAAAAGGAATTCCAATTCTATGTTAGTTAGAAAATAAAAACCCACAAAACCCATATAAATTCTTTTTTCATGAAAACAAAAAAAATGCAGTTTAAAGTGATTGTACCTTGGAATTCGATTCCATTTCCACGTTGCAATCAATCGGTCAAAGTGAAATTCATTTTTCTCAGATATGACTTGTTCCATGGAAAATGTGGCAATCAAACATGGCCTAAGTGACTTAGGTTGGAAATGGTTAGATATAGCATAATTTTGAGGGGATCCACTTCTTATTTGTGGAAGATTAAAGTAAATTCGTATTTTTTTTCGTGATAACATTAATATAGTATATTGACATACTTAAAATGATACTCAGATGAATGAGAAATTAAAACTCAAAATATACCAATTGAAGTTGGGAAGTATTGGAAGGGAAAGCTAAAAAATTTGTCCCACATGAAAAGATGATAATGTATATGCTTGTTTATATTTGGCGATATTGTATGAAGGTGCAAGTTTATGTGGCATAGAGACACACTCTTGTGTGTGCACACAGAGGGTGCAAATTATTGATCGAATTAGCACCTCTTCCATTTACAATACATAGAGAAAGGCCCTTTGATTCATGCAGACCGGCCAATTGAGCCCATCACAGAAACCATACAAATTGTTCAAAGGGAAAAATTCATAAATAAGGTGTTTACTTTACACCAATTCAAAAATCAGGTTTATAGTTTGAAAATTCAAAAATCAGGTTTTTTTTAAATTTTATTTATGAAATAATAAATTATTAAATTAATTTATTATTAAATATTTAATTTTAATATAATATAATTAACTCATCTCATATGCACCACCCATACCACTCCGGTGACTATTGCGGCGACCATTCTGGCCACCACTCTTTTCCGGCGACTGTTCCGATGACCGTTCCGACGATTGCTCTGATTCCGACAATTATTCCGACGACTATTCCGGTGATCATTCTGATCACAGATTTACAATTTACGGTCACAGCTCAAAAATTTTGTAAGTCACAATTAATTCGTTGGTCACAGATTTCAAAATTAGTTGGTCACAGATCAAAATTTATTGTCACACAGTCACAGAATAACAAATTAATTGGTCACAGATTTTTTCGAGGTCACAAATCAAAAATTTTATACGTCATAGTTTATTTTATTGGTCACAGATGAAAAAAATTGTAGGTCACATTTTATCGATCGGTTACATATTTTCAAGTTGAATCAAATAGTTGGTCACATATACTGAAACACCTCACCCTGATCCGATCCACCACCCATACTTGGTCATAGATGACCAAATAATTAGTCACATACACCAAATAGTGGTCACATGCCACCGCCACCAACACTACTGCCACGACCACTAGGCAACTTGCGACCACCCTCACCCGGCCACTGTAGTCGCATCACCACCACCACCACAACAACACAACCCCCGCCACCATCACACAAATGCACACCGTCACCAACAATACAAACGCAC